CAGACATTAGCCCAAGATACCTACATGCCTACCAAGTATTAAATCAATTTAGTTGGTAGTTTTTAAGACGTCGTCGAAAGTGGCTGTTTTGACCGAAATATTGTAATATTGACACAAATTCTGAGAGAGACCCACTAATTAAAGGTGCTTGTATACTAAAACATCAAACACTCAGGCTACTGGTTTTCAAGAAAAAGATGAAAATGCAATAAAGTTATTGTTGGTGGTCGGACAAACGACAGTATAATATGATCAGCTTCGTTGCGTTGCTGTGTCACCTTCGATGACAGCGGAGCTAATAAGTTAAAAAATATTAGTATTGTAGTCGCAAAAAAACTTGTTATAATCAATGGTTGTTTTGTCAATAAAATACTATAAATGTATAATTATATATTTCCAGTAAGCCAATCCTAATCAAACAATACAACAACGTATTCGACATGTTTCCATGGCTACGTAAATGGTGTAAGTATGTACATTCAATATTATTTTATCAAAATGACTTACAACAGACCATGATTATCCATGTATAGTATATTTCTGTAATTTTGGTTTTAAACACATTTTTTTGACACCAGATTTTTATTTGTCACTATTATACTAATACTTATTTTAATAACTAAAGTAATGCGATATTGCGATATTTACGTTCGAAGTTAACAGGACAGTCCCAAATATTCCGACTTTTACAATGACATGTACGCAATAATATGTACACGTTATGTAAGTGTCCTCGACAAGCACTATTATTAGTAGAACACCGGGAAGTATATCACACAGCAACTAATATTCCTGGCTTGATTTGTGCATGCGCGTCACACATACCCGGAAGATTTGAGGCAGCGGAAGAATTGCCGAACTGAAATACATGCAAGAAAACTGAAATGCGTTTAAGTGCAATGCATGTGCATTGCGTCTGCTGAGAATAATCATGGTGGACAACAGTAATTCAACGGCAGCAGTCGAACGGGTTGAACAGCGAATTATTCAATGTTTGTTTGATTCGTGATTCCCAAACACAAATGTAAAATGTAATCAGGATTTTTTTTATCTGTAAAATGTAAAATGAAATGAAAATTTTATTTTATTTCCTGAAAAAACTTAAAATGGCCTGTATCCTGTACAAGCGACCCCTTGCCTACCCTCTACTTAATTTATTTCTTTCCAAGGGGGTCTCGTCCATTAGTTTTGAGATATGCAGGTTACAAGTGTTTTCAAAGTCAACAAGTTCATATTTGCATAACATTTGCATAAATTTGCATATTCATTGTTTTTTCAGTTAGTAGTATTCTGGTAATAAACTACCCCCGATATGGGTCGAAGACATTTATAGTATAGTATATTTTATTTGACTCAAATTAATGAATTGGGAATACATTAACCATGGTCAATAATCAAAAACAACAACAACACAATAACAAGAAATACAGATATAAAAAATACAATAAAATGTTAAAACAGATAACACTAACAACTATTAGGTATTACATTGTAAAATTGTGTTAATAAACTTTCCTAGACTATTGGCAATGAAACTGTCTTTTATTCCCATAATATGCACAAACATATCTTCTTTTGGAAATTTTAAAAT